CCAAGAAAGAAGGGRCTTACCCAAGGACACACTGATTGTATATGTTCTAATCCTCTCCATTCTGCAAGGCCCAACTCAAATGCCTCTTGAAGAAGTCTTTTCTTGGTGGGCCCTAACTACCACTTTTGGCATGTACCACATTCTAACTTGTAATACRTGTTCACGTTTTCTTCTCTTACGATGAACTTCCTAAGAGCAAAGACTGTTACACACTTGAGTATATCTCCCCACCAATCCGAATTCTTCCTTGATGCTACTAACCTTAAGGTGTCCTTCCATAGCAGCTTGCAGTTTCTTCTAGGCTTTGGTTTTGTGGTCTGCAAAGCCCTGAAGAGGTGTATAAGCACATTGTGGGTACAGTTACTCATTGGAGCTCCTTGCTTTATTCTTAACAGATATCTTATGTTTGCAAAGTGTTTTTCAAATTAGATATTTGAATCTTGCCCTTCCTTCATGTCCCTGGTGAATATAGCACCATTCTGGGCACATAGTAGTGGCTTAATAATGATTGTCAGATTAAGCATTTATCTGTTCACCTTCTCCCACCTCCACCTTTGTCTCTCCTGTTGTTTGTGTCTTGAATTCCCAACTAAACTATAAGCTCCACAGTGTGCAATTTTGTCTTATCTGTGTGTATCGAGTCTTATCTTCCAATAAATCCTTATTGATTACTTTCAAGTGGCCCATGTATGGTAGCACACCAGCTAACAAAGCACAACCAAGGCTAGCTTGTCCAGCRTGAATGGGTTTATATTAAATGTACCTTCTAGATGGGTATTTTAAATAGACATCCACAACCTGAAACAKGTATTTTAAACAAAGACCAGCAAAGTAGAAGGGAATGCTCAAATCCTCATGAATTGGGCATAAACACACTCATGGGCCCCGCTAGCTAGCCATACATAAATAGGGGTCATGACTCATGGGAATCTGCTGTTTCTCCCTGTTMTTCCTGGAGATCTTTTTATTTCCTCTCAGAGTGCATTTCTTTGGTTCCTTGTCTGTGATTTTTGTCTGGTGGTGTGTGATATTTTTAAGGGTTATGGTTGTCATCGTCACAGATGGAGRATTCTTGACAATATTGCAGAGCCTCATCACTGAGCTACCGGAACTCATACCTCTGCTACTTAAAGAAGAAAGAAGCTAAAGAATTAACTAAGTGGCCAGTAAACACAGTGACCACACTATTTTTTGAAAAATGGTTTYGATGTCAGACAGTTGTCTTTAATATTCTTTTATGTACTCCTAAGAATGTTCCAGTTAAATGTTTAAATACCTACTTTTTAAATTAGAACTAAAATATCTAATTGGTTTGTTAATTAGGAGGACACTGGAGAGTTGTCGGGAGAAGTTATGACTTTGATAAGGAGTCATTTAAAAAGTAAGGGCAGTTCCTCCATTTTAAATCTTTTTGTGTTATCAGATTTAAAATACATAGCTCAAAATGATTCTGTAAGCTTCCACCTRTTTATTTCCAAATCTGACATTCCACATTAAGTTCACTCAAGATATGGAGCAGTGAGTAGAAACAACTTTCTATGATGCTGGTACAGTATGCACAGGGGATAATTTATTTTTTAAATTTGCTGTCTATTATTAGACTTCTAATTACTCAGGCTGGATAGAAGCAGAAAGGTTTTATTCCTATAATAACTGCCAGTTATTTAGCTGGAGGTGACAGGCAGAAGGAGTTCATTTAGGTAGCTCAGACTTAGGAAGTAACGTTTCTTTCCAAAGAATTCTAAATGTGTTTTTGGTTTTGTTTATAACCCCAGTTCTTCACATTTAATTATTTTAACAAATCTGCAAATTAGCAGATCCCTGGAAATGGTTGGCCTAATTGCCCTCCCCCTTTGTGCCCACATGTTTCTCAGCCAGGAAAATCAGGGTTCATTGTGGTTTGGAGAGGAATTTATGTAATATACCTATGTTCTGTGGAATATTTGGATTAATATTATTAAGTATTAATTCCTAGGGAACTTTGAATTTAGCTTTTTGAAGTTTCTTGTCCTAGCCTCCTAGAGAAGAGAGTGCCCAATTCTGTTTCCCTCGTGAGGTAAACTTGCTTCAAAAGTAAAAATTTCATTAAAAACCTAATTTGGATTCTTTTTAAAAAAATTTTTGTAGTTGTAGATAGAGAGTGCCTTTATTTTATTTATTTTATGTGGTGCTAAGGATCRAATCCAGTGTCTCACACATGCTAGGCAAGCACTCTGCCACTGAGCTACAGCCCCAGCACATAATTTGGCATTCTTGAAAAATATGAATCTTCCTTGGATATGTTTTAGGTCATCTTAAAGCTGTTGAATTCCAAAATGACTAATTAGTACAGTCAATCTATATCATTCTCTTTTTATTAATCTGAAAATTATACTGTCTTCAAGAGACCTTAGTTTGTGTGTTTTGTTGGGAAGGTAAAAATTTTTATTTCTCAGTAAAGGAGTTTCTTCTGGGGTTGGAGGGAGATACAAAGCTGGGAAGGCATGGAACTCCTGGAACCCTGTGTGGATTTGCAGAGGAATGGCAGAGTCAGCTTGCCATTGGGTAAATAATTTTTGTTAAAGCATTAACAGATTCTTTCATATGCCATGGGAGATGCTGAGTGCTTTATAAAAAAGTTGTATTATTTCATTGATTCCCTCACAATCCTATGGGATAGTACCCCCATTTCTGTTTCTGTGAAAATTGGAAATCTAAAAATGGACAAGGAGTGATGTTTAATGAGAACATCCCATTCTAGGACCAGGCCAATCACAGGATTGCTGGGTAGGATGCTGAGACTAAATACTGTTCTTTTTGATTCTTTTATGGATTTGTAGTTTGAAATAGGCAGTAGTGTGTAAAAAATATATTCATCACACCTGATCATACTACTTGCCACTCACCTGGAGTTTAAAACATGTTATGTTTTTTGATATTAGTTCTTTCTTAGTAACTGACTGAGGTGTGATGTGTCCCATACCCATTCTACTTGATCTCTTCATTAATAATGCCTTAACACCAGGGAACAGCTTTAGTAAAAACCAACTAGAGACCTTCATTTTAAAAATAAAGGGTGTAGAAGCTTGGGGGGCATTTCTCCATTGTCACAAGATAGCCATCACCTGAGAAAATGTTTCAGTACCCACGACTCCAGGATATAGGCGTAACCTTTGCAATAAAAACATAAGGGTTAACCTCCAAGAGTTTAAGATGAATACAGTTAGCCCCCCATATCTGTAGGTTTCATGTCTGCAGATTCAACCAACAGAGGATTGAAAATATTTGGGGGTAAAAGAATCTGTACTGCAGACGTTTTCCCCTGTCTTTATTCCCTAAGCAGTACAGTATAACAATGATTTGCACAGTGTGTGAATTCTACTGGGTATTATAAGCAATCTAGAGATCATTTAAAGTATATGGGAGGATTGTGGAGATTATATGCAAATACTATGCTATTTTGTTTAAGGAACGTGAACATTTGATCATCAGGGGCCTGGAAACAGTCTCCCACAGATACTCGGGGATTATTGTATGCTTGAGTTGAAAATTATAGTAAGAATTATCAGATGATAATATGAAATAAAAACTGTCCTATGAAGGAAATAGTACTGCTAAACACKGAGTGGAAGATATTTTAATGTTCTCTTAGTTTTATGTTTGTGGTGTTTTGTACTTAAGTAGGTCATTTAAGAGGGCAGGTGTCCTAGGCCAAAAAGTTTCCTTGAAACCAGATGTGAGTCTACCAATGAAAAAAGTGGAATTCTGATTCTGTTCCCTCACTAGAATGTAAAAGCAGAATTTTGTGCCACACAGAACAGTCTGTGCAAAATGGGACATTCACTGCCTTTTATGACAGAGACTAAAAATCCTTCCAGAAAGATAACTAAGCAGCAGCAGTTTAAAACAATGTGATGGTCCAGGGGGGTCTGTTTGGAGAGATCTCCAAGATAGACTCAGCAAGGGAGATATGTATAACATGTGCTGTGTGATCTAGTTTATGTCCAGATGACTGAACATATATAGTTGCAGGTATATATATATATATATATATATATGCTTAGAAAAAGAATTGGATGGATATACATGAAAAAAATTAGGAAAGGTTATGAAAGTTGGGGAGAAAAGGGAGGCTTTTAGGATTTACAGTGTATATTTCTCTTTAAATTCTCTTACACACACACACACACACAATTTTATGAAAACTACATAGAAAGCTAAAATTGCAGGTCTTATTGGAGGTGTATAGATAAGATGAGGCTCTGGAGTCAAACCTGCTAGGGTTTGAATCCCAGTTCCTTTACTTATGGCTGTATATCATTAAAACAAGTTACTTACCTTCTGTGTCTCCACTTATACAAAAGGATAAAAAATAAATAAGGGTACTTGTGTTATACAGTTGTTACAAGGATTAAGTAATCTATGAAAGACCCTATTGATCAGTACTTGACATATAAGTAAATATTCAGGATATGTTATTAAATTATGATATGTAGTGTCTAGTTCTCCTCAATTCTCTTATGTAGACTTTYCAGTTAAAAAGGTTCCCAGTGACAACTTTAGTAATCAAAATGAATTTTCTTTTTTCATTGAATCTTTTAATGATACTCTCATAATATTACCCCACTGGTTTTCAGGACTTCAAAAAGAGAAACAACATTAAAAAAGCCCAAAAAATATAATAAAAAAAATTAAAAAGGGCTGGAGTTGTGGCCCAGGGGTAGAGTACTCCTTACCTAGCACTTGTGAGGCCCTGGGTTTGATCCTCAGCACCACATAAAAATATATAAATAAAGTAAAGGTATTGTGTCCAACTACAATTAAAAAAATATATAAAAAAAATTTAAAAAAAGAGAAATAACAAAAACAAGTGGAACTATCTTGCTTTATGTAGAATGCCATACATTGCATCTATGGAGTACGCCTGACTTGCTTCCTTGGCCATGGGACCTGATATACATCTCATTGTGGACTGTAGACATGTAAATGTGAACAGTGAGTTTTGTCTTTCTTCTCCTTAGGAAGACTATGATCGTCTGAGGCCTTTATCTTATCCAATGACTGATGTCTTCCTCATATGCTTCTCTGTGGTAAACCCAGCCTCATTTCAAAATGTGAAAGAGGAATGGGTACCAGAACTTAAGGAATATGCACCAAATGTACCCTTTTTATTAATAGGAACTCAGGTATGTCTCCTTTGATTTTACCAATGTTTGGGGGTTGCTCTCAAATAGTCCAAGGTTTCCAAATAATATATGTGTGTTTATCTCAGTTGCAAGTTAATAAGCCATTTCTTATTTTTGGAAAAAGTAGTGCCAAATGAAAACAATTATATGGGTAGTTTTTAAAAGTTCAATTCTTTTATTGATTGATTGATTTKGGGGGGTATAGGGGGATCAAATGGGACTATATGCATTGATTTCTCTTTAAAGACTTGTAATATTGTGGGACATTATTGATTTTTCTTAACTAGATTGATCTCCGAGATGACCCCAAAACTTTAGCAAGACTGAATGATATGAAAGAAAAACCTATATGTGTGGAACAAGGACAGAAACTAGCAAAAGAGGTAATGGAATATTTGCAGAATTTAGAAATAACTGTAAATATCATAGTAAAAGCTAACTCTTAACTGGCATTTACAGTATGCTGGTTCCTCTGCTGATTGATTGACATGCATGATCTCGTTTATCCCTTGTGCCAACTCAGCGAGCCAGGTTTGACTGTTCCCCCTATTGTAAAGAGAAAGCAGAGGTTTGGAGATGGCAGGGAATTTGCCCAAGGCCCCACAGCAGTAGTGGCAGAGTCAGRTTTCACTCCAAAGCCTGACTTCAGGGACCAGGCTCTTCTACCTATGCTACCCTGCCTATAGTATTTTCTTTAAAAGGCACACAGGAAGAGGCATCAGAAGCCGGTGCTGAGACTTCAAGCCCCTGATAATTACTAAAACATCTGAACTGTGCCAGATCAGACTGTTTCCAGTTAAGACTCTGGAGTTAGGTGGTGGAGTGACAGAGAAAGCCAATTTAAATCTGAGGCTACAATCATAAAATTATGTCCCGATTTCTAAAAAATATATAACATACATAAGCCTTTTAACTTATATTCTTCCTCATCCTGAAACTAGGTTTGCTTTTTTTTTCCAGTCAGTCCTACCATTATTGGATTCTATTTTTTAAATATGACTTTAATAGGACTTCTGTGGAAACAGAATCTAATAAGGCCTTTGAAAATGTACTATTAGRAGGCAAAAGAAAGCAGGAAAACTTTCTGGGGGACAATTTTTTCTCAAAGAAAAAATGTAAATGGTGTCACTAACAAATCATTTTAGAAATTCCATATATTCAATTTCGTACTCATGGGGGAAGAAAGAATTTCTAAATACCACAAAGATAAAAGTCATAAATTAAGTTATTGATGATTTAGCTACATAAAAATTTAATATTATATCAAATACCAGAAATTAAAAGTCACACAGCAAACTTGATGTATGTAGCAGAAAAATTCATTAACTTTCTTTAGTATATAGGAACCCCTTGTTTAAAGTGAATTCATCAGAAAAGTAAATATATCCCTATAGAAAAACAGGCTAAGGACATTGATAGAAAATTCACCAAAAAAATGCAGATTACCCTGAAGATAGGAATGTTCAAATTCATTTAGGAGTCAGATGCAAGTTCTTACAATCGAATCTCTTACACTCCCTGATGCGGTCTGCTGCTGCTCTGGCTCCCTCACTGTTCTGGAATGCTCCAAGCCTGCTTCCAACTCAGTCTTTGTGTCTGTGGCCCATCTCTCTGAAGCTGTCTCCCTTGGTAGGCCTCACTGCTCAAACTTGGCCTGTTGAGAACCTTCCCCAACCACTGCCATCCTCAGCACTCCCACYTCCCTCACTCTGTTTTTTCTGCATTTACCACCATCTGCTCTATTTTCCTTTCTTTGTCTGCCTCTACTCCATGGAAGATGTAGGTGCCACACAGCAGAGCACCGTTGCTTTTTGGTTCAGTTCACTGAAGTATCTCTAGCACCCAAACAGTGTTTGACACATAGTAGGTAAACATAAATATTTGATAAATGAAAGAATTTTTCATAAAGAACATYTGGAAGGACATACACTAGTATGGCTACCTCTTGGTATTATAAATATGGATAATGAGTTTATCATTCCTATTGCATAGCTATATTTTACAATTTTCTTTATAATGAGATGTGTCATACCAATTGCATGTAATACAATTTTATATATTTGTAATGTATCTTTCTCCTTCCCAGATAGGAGCATGCTGCTATGTGGAATGTTCAGCTTTAACCCAGAAGGGACTGAAGACTGTTTTCGATGAGGCTATCATAGCCATTTTAACTCCAAAGAAACACACGGTTAAAAAAAGAATAGGATCAAGATGTATAAACTGTTGTTTGATTACKTGAGACACATCTTCAGTGGCCAAGGAAACTCAATTTCTCTCAGAAAGTGTGTGAAATGGTACAGCTTATCAGACTTCTCATAGATAATGAAGCAGTTTAAAACTTGAAAGAAAAAAACAACTGTCCTCAGAATTCTATCAAGTTCATTAAGAATGTTTCTTAAAGGTCTAAGAAGCAGCAAACAGCATCTGAAGCCACAATCTATTATAAATACTTTATTTCAACTAGAAGGTACAATCTCTCAGGGGTTTCATAGTTTAAAAAGCTACAATCACATCATGTTGAAACTACATTAAAAAAAAACAGTGCTGTAAATGGAACTGCTTGGCTTTGACCACACACATTTCTGCACAGCCCTGTGGAATCTGCACAAAGAAATATCTTCTCCSTTTGCTCTAATTAATTGTTCTTGTATGTAAGTTGCTTTCTATTCCAGTATATCCAGAGTGGTGAAATAACAAGGCCAGCCACGTAGCCAAAGGTCGCTCCAAGCGTACAGGAGATGGGCCAAACCTGAGGAAAAAAATGTATGAGATCAAAAAAGAACAAATGTTTTATTATTACTTGAGCACAAGTTAAGTGTAACCTAAATATTTCTATATTAAAGCTTAATGTGCTTTCTTAAAGAATGCCAAAAGTGTAATAAGGTCATAACTGCATTATCATGACACTAAAAATGTACACATTTTAGTTAATGTGCATTAAACTGTAACAAGGCTTCTGACAATTGTAGATTTAGTTTGATGCTCCCCAAACTGCATGAGAAACATGCTGAAATTACAAATTAAAATTTTGGGTCAGACTTTGCCATAATCCTGGACTCAATTTAGCTCTCTGAACTAGCTGGTAATTTTTTTTTWAAATTCCCACATTGGCTGTATACATCAAATGAAATAAGAAGTATGTATGCTGACCAAACCCCAAGGAAGTAAATTGTATTAAAGAGGAAAGACCTAGAATCTAAGCATGTTACATGGAATTTATAATAGAGCAGCTGCTTCCACAATAAAATTGATATCACCTTTCAGATATAGATATTGGAACCATAGCAAAAGTTATAAACCACAGCTTTTATGTACACACCTAGAGTGTAAATTAAACAAAATAGTACTGGCTTCCAAATACTCACTTTCTCCAGCTGTATTACATTTCACAATATAACATTAAGCCAGTAGTAAATAATGTTGACTTGTTTAATCTGCAGCCAATATGTTTTAGTCCCTAGGTGAAAAGCTCTGCTTTAAAAAAAAAAGAAAAAGAAAAAAAACAGTTGGAAACAAATCTTCATTTTCATCTGTAAAGCTTGGTGTACTGGAGCCATTTCTAATCTTATCTGTGGAAACAGGCCAGAGAACTGTGGTAGAGGTGAACCATCTTATTAACTGATTGTTACCTAATTCAACTTCCTTGTTTGGTCTGCTATGGATCTGCCTTACTCCAAATGCCATGCAACCGACAGTAGTGTTAGACACAGCTTCAGCACGAACCACCTAATGCAGTTTAGAGAAGCATAATCTAATCTATAATTTTTCCCCTGGCCTTTCCTACATTTAAACTTGCTGTTGCCTAAACTATGCTTTCTTTGTCTTTGGTGGGTTTCTGTTAACTTCCAGGATTTATGCTTAAAGCTCTGTCTAGCGCACYGATTGGGTAATGGAACACTATAAACATTTATACTTGAAATTTACAGCCTTAAATGCTCATATCAGTCACAAATCTAGAATGTACTGTCTTGTATGTGAGCTTTGTAGAGATTTTTTAAAATATAAGCATCATCTTCCTCTTTGAAGAGTGGAGAGTCTATTGGATAACAGGCGTTTTCTCGTGGAATTGGGTATTGATTGGATGTCTTCTTTCTTACAAGAAATAGTGGTTCACATTGTCATGGCCTTATGTATTGAATGGAATATTCTGTAATTTTCTCATTTAATTTTCATCCTTTTAGTTAGAATCAAAAGGGATTGTATAAATCAATTAACATATTAGTTAAGTTGCTAGACACATGGTATAGAGGAATTAAGACAGTAAAGTATTATACACTTCCAAGTTGCCTTTGGGGATTTGATGGAGATTTTTTTTTTCCAAATTTACATCTCTGAAACCATTCACACTTGGTTTACTTGGCATTGAAAGTTAAAATCTAGAATATATTCTTCCCTAAGAGAAATGGATTAGGAATCTGGAAATGCAAGCTGGTGTGTCACCTGTTTCTTGACTGGGCCTCAGTTTCCTCATCTTATTATAAATATGGGAAGTAGAACAGATGATCTCCAGTGTCTCTCCCATTTATCAGTTCTTATCATTCTCTTCTTTCTAATTCACAGTAATCTTTGTTGGACATCACCTTTTCACTTCACATTCTCCAGATGGTCAGAATCATGTATATAGATTATTAGAACTCTAAACAGAGATGACTGAATCATCCGCACCTGAGGTGCCTTAGGTACTCTATTGACCTTGATGGGGTTGGAGTTTCCCATTGCTTATTAAGAGCTTTTTAATTTTTTTGGTTATTTAGTATTTCTTTTTGCAAAGCCCTTCCTGTCACTTTAACTAAAA